ATTCACATATTTATGGTTGATCCATTTTATAAAATAACTATTTTTTAAAATAGAAAATAATATTTTTTTATTAATATATATATATATATATATTAATTATATATTAAAATATTATACTTAAAATTAAAATTAATTTTATTGGTATAACTTAGATTTTAAAAATATAATTTTTATGCTTCATTTAAAATTATTTTTTATTAGTTTTTGAGATAAATTGATGTGATATGTTGTAATTTTTTTAATTAGGCTACAAATAAAATATTAGTCCAGTGATTCTAACATAAAATCATATTACACAAAAAATTATAGTCTATTTTTAAATATAAATTAGTTTGAATTATCAATCAAGTTTGTTTTGATAGTCATAATTAATGATTATCTATAAATATCTTATGAGATTAGTTCAAATATTATAAATTTACTACAAAAATTAATTAGAAGGTTTTATTTTTTCGAAGAGATTTTATTGCTCCGGCAAGTGCATCCAACTTCCTTAGGGACTTCTCTCTTTCTTATTCTAACACATTGAATTGTTTGTCTCCTGTAAAATATTCCCCTAGACATTTAATTTTCATACAAGAATAGTTATAACCTAATTTTACACAATTTTAAATATTCATCAAATATGTACTTAATAGGACTCACATCTGGTGTGCTAGTTATCGTGCCCATGGTAAACATTAGGTAGTCACGTGCAGAGCGGATAACTATTAAAAGCATCTAAGTAGTAAACTCATCCTAAAATGAGTGCTCTCCTATTCCAACTTTCTTAGAGACTTCGGTAGTACAGCCGAGACAACGATGAGTTCTCTACCCCAGCGAGGGATGAGATGAAAGAAGTTTTGAGAATTCAAGAGAATGCCACAGTGAGACGAGTCATTTATAATTAATGATATATGTCAAGTGAAAGTACAATAATGTATTTATTTAATAACAATTAACATAGTTATACATAATTCAACCCATTAAAAAAGAAGAAGAAGTCAAGTATAACATAATGTAACTAGGTTTTGACTCAAAATACTTTTAAAAATCATTTAACTTTGAACTTGTAAAACAAGAAAATCACAAGAATGATGTTTGAATTGCATTTAGTGGTAAACTTTCAATTCTCCTTGGTTTTATATAATGAACTGCACACATTGTCTCTTTCTTTAAATTAAAGAAAATAACATAGATTAAGATAGACTTAAAACCTAACTATAAAAAAAAGATGATAATGTATACTAAACAATATTTTCACAAATGTTTTTGCAAACAAATTATCCAAAGTCCAATATTAGGTAACAAGATCAAAGTAAAATAAATAAGCACAAATATTTATATTGATTTGTTTCAATGTGAGACTACATCAAATTATTGATAATTCATCAAGTTTCACTTGCAGAATCACATATGTAACACGAGTAATTTTTTTTTTTTATCTTCGGTCTTTGTTATGATACTACAATTTATGATGTTGTGAACCTCTCTCAATCCCACCTAAAATCTCAATGTTGATAACTTTGCTAATGAAATTATCATATTGGATATACGGTTGAACACTTCGTTCTTTGATAAAAGATTAACTCCCACCTTTTAAGGATAAAATCGTGACGGATTACAGTTTCAAATGAACAATATTTCGAATGTGGTAATGAATCCTAATGATATTATCTTATATCAGACATAATGTTGAGACACTCTTGTTTTTACACAAAACACATTTTATGATTTTGTGAACCTTTCTCAATCCCACCTAAAATCTTAATGTTGATAACCTTGCTAATGATATTATCATATTGGATATATGGTTGAATACTTTCGTTCCTTGATGAAAAATTAACTCCCACCTTTTAAGGATAAAATCATGACGGACTATAGTTCTAAAGTGGACAATATTTCGAATGTGGTAATGAATCCTAATGATATTATCTTATATCAGACATAATGTTGAGACACTCTTGGTCTTACACAAAAACCATATGATTCTTTAGCTTATTTTATGAACCTACACGAATACTCTATTTCTGCTTTTCATTCTTAGACATTCTTTAATATAATACAAATATCCAAACTTTTGACATGCGAAGGGATATAACAATTGGGAGATATTTATGAATGAACAGAAGTCAATTATATAAGAAAATATTACATCACTTTCAATAAAAAACATTAAAGTATTAGATTTGTTGGTCTTTCTCAATTATAAGTCTTTTATTTTTACTCAATTTTTTCAACTCATACTTGAATTTTTAATAATCTTCCTTTTAAATGTAATTTTTTTTCACATTTGTGCACCTTCCCCTTAAGTTAGTGACCTTACTTGAACATGAAAAAATAAAAACAAAATAAAAGTAATGACTATTGTTATCAAACAATCTAATAATTGTTCTAGTGGATGACTCCTCTAGATACATCCACTAAATGATGTACTAGTCTTAGATGCTCTAATCAATTAAGGAGTTTAAGATCTTTCACAAATCTTCACTTTGCAATACAACTATTCATAGCAATCAACCTTTCACAAATTGAAGCAATGCATGAGTTTTTTTGGGACTTGATAACAAAGAATTTCAAAAAGATGATTTTTATTGATTTTTTGTCATACCTCAATAAAGAATACAATGATGTATTTATATACTACTACAAAACCTTAATCTTATTTTAGAAAATAAAAATTTTTAAAATTAAATAATAACTACCAAATATATTAGTAAAATATAAGCAAAAATCAAAATATTCCAACAGACTCTTAATTATCTTTTTTATTTAATTTTATCGCAATAGAGAACATTGGTGTATTGATTCACACGGTGGAAGATTGAGTTGTTAGGTTAATGTGTGTATCAATGTTCTTTCTTCTACTTATTGAAATAATGATTATGTACAGATTTGAAAAAATAGCAAAAAAAATAAAATGAGACCAAATATTCGATCATTGATTAAGAAACATATAGAGTAAATACATTATGATCCCAACTATTTTTTTTTTTTTAAATCAATAAAATACATACATTCATTATAAGATAATAGAAACACTAGAGATGAATGATTGTCACAAGACCAAATGTTAGATATACCAGAAAACATTGTAGACAAATAAAACGTGAGAAGAGAGAACAAGAATTATCATGCGTGAGAAATATTATACAAATGAGTTTCTATAATTTCTCTCTCTTAACAAGTAAAATTTTTGTCAATTTTCATATATAATTTTCTAAAAAATAAAACTTATCCCTGAATTTTATTTAAGCTCATATAATGTGATTGTCATCTGGAAAGAAAGGTAGTTGTTGACATGTATATCGCTTGACATGTTAGATCAAACTAACATGGTTAGTTAATAAATAAAACTTAAATTATAATACTAATTTTATATTTTGATAGAAACTAAATAAAAATTTATATATTTTTAAAGATCTAACATATTTAATCTAATTTTTACTTAATTCTTTGTGACATAATAATCATTGATTTTTTCACTAGAAAGAAAAATGATAATTGACATAGTAACTATGTCATCTCAACAAATTAATCCAATCAATTAATATCATTCTTTTCAATAATTAACGTAACAAATCTTAAATTGATTTTATTTTATAATTGGATATTTTTAAGGATTAAATAGAAATTATTATACATTTAGAAAAACAGCTGAATTCAAACTTTTATTTATCATGTTTTGAAAAACTAACTTCGTTACTTAAAAATCTACTCATATTCACGTTAAATATAAAAGTCAACCACATACATGTCAATTTGACGACATAATTCTACCGTGAAACATAGTTGAAATATACAGAGCATTTCTTCATGTTATTTGTGTTCTTCTAATATAATTTGTCAATGGAGTATAATTAAACCTCTTTTGTTATAGGAAAAAACTAAATCATTAAATATTTAGATTGAAAATTTAAATAACAAAAATTTTACGTGATTATTTCAAGTCTTTAAAGTAAATGAATACTTTAAAATTGTTGCAATAAAAACTTAACAAAAACTTGAAAGCTACTATGTTAAGTTCAATTTCTCAATAAAAACCCATATCGACCAGAACAATAATAAATATTTTAAAAATAATAAACATCTTTGCCGTAAAGTGTATGTTATTTTTAATTTTATTATTAATAATTTTAATAACTGGTGAAATGAAAGAAATGAGAAATAAAGAGGTCGCTGGCCTTTACTTTATGTTCGTTTGAATAGGGTTAAAAATTGGATAAAATTAAATTCATAAGATGAAAAATAAAAATAATATTTTTTAGAAAACAAATTAGAAAGAAATGAGAATATATATATATATATATATATATATATATATATATATATATATATAAATTAAAAATTTACCCATCCAATGTTCAACTATCCTCTTCCATCTTCCCAGTCAAACGACTGTTGAGGCCGGCGCAACAAATTTTTGACCAACTTCTTTTCCATGTTTTACCAAAAATAAACGGACTTCGCAGTCTTAGAACTAAGTACGTCGTGTATCATCATCATATATGCATTTGCCTACAGAACTAGTCTACCAAAGACAAAATAGTATTTGTTTTAGGAATGACAGCAGGTAACTCATGAATCTGACTTGAAAACGATCATTGCAAGAGTTCATGGTATCAATATAAAACGTAATTTAACTAAACTTCCAGAAATAAATAAAACTGATCTCAATCTAGGCATTGCAATATGCGTCTGTGCTTATCCACAGACAGTAAAACAAATGTGTATTCCCGTTTGGCAGTGGCATGTAGTGAACCTAACATGCAAAATTATATCATTCCTAGCCTACAAAAGTTCTCAGAAAACAGGAAGAATGCGAGCAAAACCATCCTCCCAATAATTTGAAATACTCATACATTAAAAATGGAAACAATGTCTGAACTTGAAAAAGAATATTATCCAACCAAACTTGAGTTCCACCCAAGCAACTTCAGCAGTCATCTGTTTATTTATGGTCCCTATTCACTGGCTTCTGACTTTAATAAACAAAATATTGAGTGTCATCACTGGACATTCTATGCCTTTGCAAGCTCAGAACCTGGTGCTGGAGCAGCGGCAGGTGCAGGACCACCAGTTGTTGGCCTGTGATAATGGGGAAATGTTCATTAGCACATCATATAAAGAATAAAACATATGACAGTGTGGAATCCTATCATATAATAGCATTTGTGTGAACTTACAGCCCAACAAATACTTTGAAAGCATCATATATTCCCCATTGGGCTCCAGTAAGAGTTCCAATCATCACAATACGGAGGGGAAGACCACGCGTGAAGAGACCCCACAAACCAAGCTTCTTCACCGCCTGCATTACATAGTAGTTAGTATATAATAACATTATGAAACATGACATAAACACATAATGGAACAACTACACTAGACAGGCACTAAATATGACTCACATCACCAACTGTTGCTCCTTTAGCATTGTTCAGAAAAGAGACAAGATTATCAGCAGGATGAGACACAATTGCACAAAGCACACCAGCAACATATCCACCAGCAAAACTGACACCAAGTTGCAGGCTTTTGGTGCACTCATTCTTTGGAGTGGGAATGGCATGCTTATAGATCAACTCAACTATGGTCTCAAATGAAGCAAACTTCATCATTGTGTCTGCAAAAGAGAAGATATTAATTTCATACAGGTCTTGTTATCAATTACTAAATTATAAGATGATGTAAAAGAAAAAAAAAAAAAGGCACATACAATGTAAAGTTTCTCAACAACAAAAAATTGAAAAATTTATAATAGGCACAATCAAAGAAAATAGAGGTGGCTATAAACGTGGTTGAAAAACCACGTGATGAGAACAATAAAAAAAGAAGTTCAAAATGGAAATGCTGAGAACCAAAAAGGCATTCTCAACATCATAATATAATGTAAATAATCAGTACTTTATAGGCCCATGCATGCAAAATCTACAATAAATGACAACTCATTCCTACCAATGAAAAAAAAAAAACACCTGCAACTTATAAAGAAATTGATAAAGCATAAAAACAAAATATCATTGAAATTTGTACAAAGACACCAAACAGAATAAGACATCTTATATCCTAGGCAAGCTTTCGGAACTACTCTACAAAGAATTCTCTAAATTTCTACCAATGAGTTAATCTATAGCCATATATAGGTAAATATAAATTATTATTAGTTGGTCTTTTTATCAATGGCAGAATATTAAAGCATTTAAACACACCATCGCAGCCTATGGCACCACCATAGCAGGCATCCCTTCACAACTTGCTTATGGCAGTTGACAGAACATCCACCACAATTCCAGAAGTGGTGGCACCATTAAACAAGTTCCTACTACTTGATAATAAATTGTAACAAAGCAAATTGCAATCATTAATAGTTTATCATTATTTTTGAAAATGAGAATACAAGTGTTTCAAATCAGTAAAAACCCATTTCAGCTCCATATTAGGTGAACATGTTTTGTTTTGAACATTGCATTTGAAAACCAAAATCTTGCAACCACCCAGAATCAAGCCAAAATGTTTGAAGTACAAACAAAACAACTCATCCAGCAACACAAGAAATACTGAACCATGCACAAACAGCCAATGCAGTATTTGGGCACTAAAGTATAATGCGAACTACAAACTATAGAATAACCAACTTACAAGGAATCTGTCGTCCCCACAGAGGCACTATCCCCTTGTACAGCCTGAAATCACAAGGCGTTCATTAGATCACATCCTAATCTTAAATCCTATAATAGATCAACATAGTATGATTACAAAACATCCTCTAAAATATTTAGGATTTAACAGCATTTGTAAGCATACCCCAAGGTTCCTTCAGATTTCACGAATTTTGGGAGTCCATCCGCCAAACCCCTAGCAAAACCAGGCTGTGTTTGGACACGGACCTTCACAGCCTCAAAGGGGCAGAGAGCAACATCAGCAATAACCTCCGCAGATGCGGAACCAGCGAGGTAGATCAAAGTCTTGTACTTACTCGCATACTCTGGGCCAGCAATATCAGAGTAATACTTCTTAAAAAACTCATAGAATCCAAATTTGCAAGCACCCTGGGCACTGTAACCAAGCAAGGTAGGCACCCAGCCACGGAAAAAGCCCCTGAAGCCCTGCTCCTTAAGCAAAACCCCAAAACCAGACGAGATGTTCTTGTACTTAGCAGGGTCAATCTGTAATCAATAACCAATTCAAACATTAAAACACAAATCCTAGTAACAACCAAAGTAAACAATTCCAACTTCAATTCTCCTGGCAAGCGCTAGGTATTAACATTAGGCTTTGTCTACTCTAAAGTAAACAAAGACAATAATATTAGTAGTTGATGATAAAACTAACTATTGGCATTCCAAAACATTCATAACATGTTATTTATGTGCGAGTGCGAGTGCTAGTGCAAGTAATATTAACAATTAATTAATTTTTTTTATCAACAAACGCTATTACCTTCTTTAGAGGACCTGATCCATAACCTCATGATACACAAATCACTACTATTAATAATAGATTCAGCAATTCAACACGGACCAAACTTCAATGTCCTCTAACCCAATGATGCGCCTAACTAAGAATATAATTCTCCCGCAGAATCATATTCAGCACCTCAAAAAGTAAAACGCTACTACAACTACAAAATCTAAAGGTCTTGATTCAAAAAAAATAAAAATCAGCAAACTCACAAAATACATGAATAGCACATATCTGAAACTAGAAAAAAAAAAGAGGGACGAAATCGAACTACAAATTACACGAAATACGAGGCAAACGATCGTTCAACTAAACAAAACCACCAAACGTAGCAGATCTAACTAAGAGACAAGAATCAGAACCCAACAACGGAAAAATACTTGAAAGGAGATCGCAGATCTAAACACTAATGAAGACAAGTGGCAACCAACACAGCACAATCGAGCAAAAATCAATTAAATCTAAGCACAACAAATCAGATCGAGTTTCAAAAATATATATAGAGATAAATAGTGAGAGGAAGAGTGGGGAGAGACCTGCATATTACACTTGACAAGGTCAAGAGGAGTGACGGCCATGTGAGTGAGGCCACAGCTGAGGATTCCACCCGCGGTGCAGGCGGCGTAGAAGGCGGGCGAGTAAAGCTCGATCTTGCCTGGCTCGCTGGGAGAGGGAATCATGAGGCCGCGCGATCTGGGGTCGAGGTTAGCTGGGGATGCTGAGGGGGCGGCGACGGCAGCGGTGGAGTGGAGCATACGGTGAAGAGGAAGCGTCTTGGAGGAAGAGGAGTAGAGGAAGGAGGGGATGAGAGAGTTGCGGCCAGAAGAAGAGTCGGAGAAAGCCATTAGGTCAGAGAAGAGAAGATGCAGACAAAGGGCGTCTTGGAAGAGAAAAGGGTCAGAAGCGTCAAAGGAAAGCGAGAGAGAAGGGAAAGGGTCTCCTCTCTCTATATTTCCCAATGCCTTTGCTGCGTTTGGTTCCAAACTTTTGGCTGCACGTTGCAGTGGTTTTATATTGGTGCCACTTGTGATGCAGACAAAATGCCCCCGCCAAGCTCTCTGAATTACCGTCTTGACACTCAGGACATGGGAGTTAGGTCGCTACTCTGTTCCGCCGTTTAGAAACGATTGAATACAGGGAGGATGGAGAATAAATTTATATATTTTTTAAAATTTTAGAACGAATTATCAATTTTTAAAGTATATGAACTAAAATCAAGTTTGATGAAAAATATATAGAATAAAAATATATTTAATCCTAAAATTATTTATTATTTTTGAGCAACTAAAAGACATTGACTCATGATATTCTACCGGTTTTTGGAAAGTAGTGTCTTGCTTTTACCGATTTTGATGCAGAGTTGCAATATTTTTTGGAGCACTAGATTTACTAAATATAAGTCAATTATGTTTCAATTGATCCAATGTCTCTTTTAACGAAGGTGAATATGTCATCCAAAACCAAGATGACTCCTTTTTCACTATGCAAAGGCAAGGAAATTTGTACAATATTAAATTTGAAGAGTTATCAAATAAAAATGTAAACATGTTTGTTTACTCAGAAAGAAAATTGTTTGTTGGATATGGCAAAAAAGCTTGGACATGTTCATAAGAGGATTTTCAAGGTTGTCATATGAGTATTTAAAAATTAAAGATTTTCAATTAAATCGTATTAAAAGAATCATCATAGAAAACATAAGGAAAAGTACTGAGATGTTAAATCAAAATATTTGTGGACTATACTTCTGCATAAATCAGCAATTTTCATTAAGTTTCAGAGATCTGACATTAAATTAGGAAAGTTTAGGTTTAGGTGTTAAATTCAGATTATGATAGGAAATCAGAATCTCCAGAATTAAGGGGAGAACATATCAGTCCCTGATATTATGTATTTTTTGGATTGGGATTTTAATATTCTCTTCCTATATACTGCAAATGATGGACGTGGAATAAAATTATTCTATTTTCTCATTCCCATGATTTTTTATGTGGGAGATGTTTTTATTCTTTTTTTTTAGTTTCCTTTCTTTTGCTTTTATATATATATATATATATATATATATATATATATATATATATATATATATATATATATATATTTTTTGACTCACTAAAAATGAGGGAAGACGGATTAGTCCCTTTTCGACCTGCTAAAAAATATGTTGACCCATCATATTTCTTATTTTATTATTTTTAAATCAAATTTTTTAATAAATTAATAATAAAATTATCATTGTAAACAATTCAAAATATATATATATATATATATATATATATATATATATTCCAAGTTAATAATATAAATTGATATATTATTTTAATAAATTATATTTTAGAATAATTAAATTAAGATAAAATTTATATAATAATAAATATATGTATATAACAAGTAGAAATTTATTAAATCTTTATTTTTATATTGAAAAGTTTAAACATTTAAATGAAAATTACATTATATTTATTTATTTGATAAAACTTCACATTGTTCTCCCATTGAGTAATTCTCACATCTTCAATTCAAAATAATCAATGTTCATGACTATTAGATGTAGTATTTGAAGATCTCTCCAGTTTTCTATCTTTGTCATTTTCTTCCTCATTTTCAACAACACACAAAATTGAAGAAAGAAAAAAATTAGTAAAAACAAGGATTATAAAAAATAAAAATAAAAATAAAAATGAATTACCTTCATAAAAGTCATGTTTCCAATTTGAAGTACAAATTATTGCTTATACATTCTCAGGCAAAAGACGATTTCGGTACTTATTAAGAATCATAGAACAAATACTCGAATATAGATTCGAAGCAATCTGTAGTAATGTGTATACTTAACAAATCCAAAATAATGAAAGATCAGAAAAACGTTGACTATTATTCTTCCACCATTGTAGAACATCCATATGTTTTGTAAAATCAAAATTCAATGTTGGCTCATCCAAATATACATCAAGTTGATTTCATATTTTTTTCTTACTCAAAGATTTTAACAAAAGTACAAATAGAAAAACATAATAAATGAGTCGTGAGAGATAAAAATATTAAGAAAAAAAATGAAACCTTAAGAAAGTAACAAATATAAAATAGAGTAAAAAAATGAGATATATATGATTTTTACCTTATGAAGAATGATGAGCGAGAAAGAGATAATGAGTAAGAGGAGAGGAGAGAGAGAGGGGTTTATACTTGAGAAAGGAAAATGTTTCCCATAATTTGAGTTTAAGTAATTATAAAATTTTTTGAATTCTCTTAGTAGTGAAATACTGAGAGTTTATGAATTCTCTTTATGAAAGACTAGGACTTTTATAAATCTTTATATTATATATTATTTTTCTAACTCTTTGTAGTGTATCACAATAATAAAAAATTATTAGTAAAGCGGGTCGCGGGTTGACCCGTATCGCCCTGCGTGTTAGCTCGATGGGTTGACGGACTTGACGAAACAAACCAAAACGGACTGACAGGCTAAAAGTACTCTCCTCGCCATATTATAACGGGCTAGCGGAACAACCCGCCAGACCTAACCCGTTTTGTCATCTATATATATATTATCTTGTATATCTTTATATAATAATATGATTGAATAGACTTTCACGCATTCTACGTGTTTTCTCTCTCCTCTTATAATTTTTTTTTTTTTCACTGCACCCATTTCTCTCTCTCACGTTAATGGAAATTCATAAACTCTGATATGATATTAGAGTGGGTCTGATCTCGCTCTGCGTGTGTCACTTTGATTGTATCTTTTCCATATCATCATTTCTTGGCCCTTCTTCTTGGTTCTTGGTTCTTGGTTCTCCTTCTTATTGTTATCATGTCTTCAAAAACCATCAACGACTCACAAAACCCATCAAGTCCTTGTATGGCTTCAAGCAAGCCAGTAAACAATGGTTTGACAAGCTCAACCAACATATGTAGATGACATCCTTCTCACAGGAGACAATTTGGATGACAATGGTTTCTAATCATTCTCTTTTTGCTAAGAAAACTAAGAATTCCTTTCTAGCTTTACTTGTATATGTAGATGACATCCTTCTCACACAGAGACAATTTGGAAGACATCAATCTTGTAAAAAATTCCCTAGACAAAGCTTTCAAAATTAAGGAAGGCAAAATTCTTTCTCGAATTGGAAATAGCTAGAACACAAGGAGGCATATATATTTGTCAAAGAAAGTACATTTTAGATCTTCTTACATACACGAGCATGACAACTTGCAAACCATGTCCCACTCCCATGGTAAAAAACATTAAAACCTTGGTTGAAAATGACTCTGATATATGCGAGTTGAAAACTATAGAAGGATGATAGGAAAACTCATCTACCTTACTAACACAAAACTCGACATAACTTATGCTATCAGCTTTCTAAGTCAATTTCTGCATAATCCCACTAAACGTCATCACCAAGCTGTTTAGAGAATCTTGTGCTACCTCAAAGTTGCTCCATCCTCAGGAATTTTTTTTCCTCCGAGAATAAGACAAACCTCAAGGCTTTTAGCGACTCAGAGTGAGCTACATGTCCACAATCTCGTAGATCCACCACAGGTTATTGTATCTTCATTGGAACCTCCCTTGTTTCATGAAAGACAAAGAAGCAATACATTGTATCCCGCTCATCTTCTGAGACTGAATACAGAGCACTAGCAGCCACTATTTGCGAGTTGCAATGGCTCACGTACCTTCTGGAAGATTTAGATGTTAAAGATATCCTCCCTTCAACTCTCTTTTATGATAACCTCCCTTCAACTCTCTTTTATGATAACCAGGCTACTAGACATATAGCATAGAACCCCAACTTCCATGAAAGAACCAAGCACATAGACTTGGACTGTCATGTTGTACGTGAAAAACTCAAAAGCAGGTTTCTTTCATCTCTTACCTATTAAGACTACCGAACAACCTGCAGACACTTTCACAAAACTCTTTGAAACAGGAAGTTTCAAAGGCTATATATCCAAGCTTAGTATGATGAACATTCATACTCCAACTTAAGGGAAACTATCAGAGTTGGTTATTTTTTTTTTCTGTATATAGTTTCCTTTCTTTTGCTTGAGTAGTATATTACCTTTATATAATAATATAATTGAATAGATTTTCATGCATCTATGTGTTTTCTCTTTCCTCTCACATATAAATTCATAAACTCTGATAATTTCAGAGGACCCAAATGAAAAGTACACACAATATTCCATCCAAAACCATGCTGAACGACAATCCTTCAATTAACTTCTCCCGGACACGTTTGAGAGAGTTGAGCTGTGTGTGAATAGCAAATCAACACACCCTAAAAGATTATGTAAACAATGGGATAATCATGCAATCATTTCCAGCAATAGATATGCAGCCTATAATATTATTTCATTGAAAAAATAACATTGCACCTTACCACTGTTTAGTCTTTAAGATGGCTATGCCTGTGCCAGGAAATCAATTCGTTGATAGAATGTGGCCCACGTTTAGTACCCTTCTCATCTTCATAAAGCCAACATTCTTCACGAATCTGAAATAAGACATAAGACATAAGACATGCCCTCAATGTATTTCAAACTTACTTTTACATGACAAAACCAAGAGTAGATTTTGCACTACCATCTAACAAGATATTAAACTGTTGAATGCCCGAGAGTGGATTTAAGTGACTGGATTCCTTAAGGCAGTAATTGGCATGCTAATGTGAAAGAGATTGTGAATCAGGGTTACCAGCCAGATGAGTAGCAATTTCAAAAGATTTATCATGTTCATATTGCACCATTGTAGGCATCCTTCTGCCTGAGATACCCATAATCAGGTATGCAAACCCCATGGAAACATGATCAGGAACTGCTTGAAGTAATTCAGTGGTACAGGGTTCATTATGGTGCCATTAATCACTGGATACACAGGAAGCTCAGATGACAAGAAACCAGTAGTTAGGCCCTCATATAGGGACCACACATCTGCCCATTTTCATTCACATACATCCATCCATTCCCTAAATCAGGCTGTTGCACAAAGCTACAGAAACTCTGGTCCACGTGTGACATATTCCCTGCGGTAGAACACACAGGAACATAGCCACTATTAACGTTTGACGGACAGCTTCATAGGTTCATATCTTAGGTGTAGAAGTGGCCTTTTTATTTTCATATGGATATGCTTTATCTTTCACATTCATTCACTTCCATTCAATTGTCAGCAACATTCTAAACCTGTAAAGGTGGGCAAGTTTATTCTTAGTTATTCAAAATTAACACTCCCAATTCTACCAAGTATTAGAAACTTGTATTCCCATGTCACTTACCTAGAAATGTTTTACATTTCTTCTGCCAAAACACCATCTAAAAAAATGCATGCTTAAAGAACCAAAGTGAGGAGGCCATAAGCATAAGAATATCGCCTTAAAATTCACAGCATCAGACTAACCAAAATCAGCTGTAGCAACCAATATTTTTTGCAAGATGGAATATCTGAGTAATTTTTTGAAAAATATGAACACAAGTTGCTTGTGAAAGAACACAGTAGCATGTCAGAGATATTCATTTACCAGCATCAAAAGATCACAAATAGATATTCAGGCATTCCACCATCTGCTGAGAGTCTGCAATTGTCAAATCCCATAAACATATCCTTCATGGGGATCTCATCCATACATTACTTTCACATAAAAGAAGTGGTGTTCTGTCCTAGTATCATCTTTTCTTCATGAAAAATACATATACTGAAACAATACAAGATTCGATGTTGCTTAAAGGAAAAACAGTCATATTCAAAATTTGAGTCTGTGTATTAACACTCCCTTATGGTTTGAGGGTATTGTATGATTTTTTAATGTACTTTTACTTGATATCTGTCTCAGATTCCTGTCTTCTTCATGAGGGTGGTTTGTCCTCATATACCACTGATGAGTTTCCTTGTTACTTCGACGATGTGCGCCTTTCGTAATGGGTAATTAGTTGAAATAGGCATTAGTGAGTCTCATCCAATTTGTGATTGGTAAGCGCTTCTACATTGCAGCTGGAAGAGCTCTTAGAAATGGTTCTACAAACATGGATGTCCTGGTTGCAGTGGGAAATACTGCTTCTTACATTTATTCTATTTGTGCTCTTCTATATGGTGCTCTTTCTGGATTTTGATCTCCAACTTACTTTGAAACAAGTGCTATGCTAATAACATTTGTATTGTTAGGCAAGTATTCGGAATGTCTTGCCAAGGGAAAGACATTTGATGCTATCAAGAAATTAGTAGAACTTGCTCCTGCAACAGCTTTACTAGTTGTCAAAGATAAAGGTGCGCATGAATTACAATTTATTTTCCGCATATCTGCATTTTCATTATAAATTGTCCACATCCCTGTATTTCAAATGAACAATTGAACATATTTGGATTGCTCTTTACAATACTTTAAAATAAAATAATTTGAGATAATTGACAAATAAAAATCTTGCCTGTTTAACGTTATATCAAAAGAGGCAACTGTAATTTTGGGATTCATTCTTGATGATTGGTGTGAAACCCCAAAATTTTGTACAACACTGGGAAGATATCTTCTTGCCTGCAGTATAAGTCTTCTAATTTCATGAATTCAAATAAGGGGTATCTTTTTTTCTTGACAACAAAAAGGACCTCCATTCTCCACATCACCATGCACATGCGAGAATAGGAGAATGGGTTATAAGCATCACCATTGGCTCAGCTTATTAAAATATAAGTCAAATCATCCAAAGAAAAGAGACAATAATTAACAATCTACACATCCCAAACGATTGAACGCACTGTTAGTCCAGTTTATATAATGTCACAAATTATTTAAATATTAAATGTTTTTTTTTACTGTTAACAGAAGAAACTAATGAAAAAAATGAGTATTTGGTAAACTAAATATATTATACGGAACAATGTTTTAAAAAGAAAAAGAATTAAATAAGAAAATAATGTTGATGGAGCAAAAATTTAATTAGGTCTTAATCTTTATGAGTTAACAAAAGGTATTACATGATGAAAATATCACATCAGTTTTATTAAATCATTTAATTTCTAGTAAAATAATTTGTAGAGATAGATAAAAATTTGCCTTTTTCTGACTTAAAAAAATATTATAATAGTAAACATATCATTCTAATTATATTAAATAATTTAATATAACAAATAATTAAAGTTTTTAGTAAATATATCACGTTAGTTTTGATTAAAAAATTATATAAATATTTTTAAAATTATAAATGAGCAGTCAAAATTTTTAAACATGTTTAAAGATATAATTTAGAGGATGTGTGATGATCATGATTAAAATTAAAATTCACTATTGATATGATTTTAAAAATAAAGATTTCGAATTGCATGATAGTGTATTTTACACAGTTATTACATAGTCTATTCTTTTACTAAAATATAAATTACTATCATTTCTCTTTAAATATATTTGGAAAAAATTATCTTTTAAATGTCAGGTACAATGAATTATAATTATTAAAAACGATTCCTCCATTTGTTTATTCTGCTGCAAACTAATACAGCTGCACTGTCAATATTTATATAGCCATTACAAGAAAACATGTATTTTAAAGAAATGACAATTATTAGAATAGTTTAGAGAAAGTCAACTAACATTAATGATTTATAATGTGAACATTTAAATAAGATAGGAAATTGGAAACTATAGAACTCTGCTATAGAATGCGTTCAAATTTGTCAAAGAATCTGCGTAACGTTGGTCGGCTGCTACATTCAAAGTCCATAACCTAAATCTTCCTTATTTTACTTTACAAATTCTTTACTTTACTTGCTTCCTTACACTCTACCCTGTTGTTCTCACCGTTTGGTCCTCTAATAAATTATCTTGCTCTGAGTTGATGATGACACATTTGTTCATGGAGAATAAAGATCCTCAATCATGGAGTTCTGCTCCTATCTACCACTCTCAATGGCTTCAAACGACAATATCAGGTTTCAATCTCGTTCTCTCTCTCTCTCTCTCTCTCTCTCTCTCTCTCTCTCTCTCTCTCTCTCTCTCTCGTACAGATACACATGCATGCTTGCTGAGGTGTAAAACTTCTATTTTGCACACTAAATATATGAGCAACAATGATTCCCATTTTTTAACAACCTTGTTAGCTTTCTTTGACTCAACTTTGTGCATTCAAGCATGTTATAAAGCTACAAATAATGAAGTTGACTGCAGAAAGGGGGAGGGTGTGGTATGAACTAAGGCTAGAAAAAGGCAGCCCAAATGTTTTTGAAGTCAATACCACATACTCGATTAAAAACTGTCCACTCAGAAAAGATAAAAGTTCCACATAAATATACGTTGCACAGTAGTTATCAAGCAGAAATATAACCTTTAACCATATAGCCAGAGGTGGAGTATTATAAGGGATAAAAAAAATGCTAAATTGTACGAGTTCTGTTATATTAATAAGGTTTCCTACTTGCTAATTAGCCATTTTTCAGCCTATAAAACCCCTTATCCTTCACAAGGAGATCCCTCTTATCCAAAATTGCGGGTTTATAATCTGGGATGTTGTCTTATTTGTGGCCCGTAGGAGTTGCTCAAAGTCAAACAAACGTTATTGGAATATTCATAAGTCTGCAACTAGTTATGCTGCAGTTTACGCTCACAAAAACCTGAATTTGAATTTATTTTTAGATCTGGATGAGAAATTGGATGCTGTAAAGACAATTTTAGATGGTGACGATTCTCCAAAAGAATTCATGCATTGCAAATGGAGAGAAGACATTATAGAGATGCTTGAAGATTTTGGCCAATCTTACCGTGTATTAGCCATAGCATATAACCAACTGAAGTTCAAAACCTCTGATGGTACCTTTCCGTCAGGATCTTTATCATCTTCTGATACATCAAAAACCATTTGTTCTATCTGCCATAAAAGAGCAATAGGTCAATTGAAGGATGAAAATCTCAAAGAGGGCTGGAACCATCATCCAAAATATTCCTCTGAGCATTCCAATATCAAATTTGATCGTGGTAACCTTGGTTTTGATCCTTCAAACAAACATGGAGATGAATGCCATGAATTGTTATCAGCAGGCCCATGCAGCATGGAACTAAAACCAGAACTTATACACACTCAAATGGAGGACAGAATGACAAAATTTTCGACCACTGAAGATGCTATAATGAAGATTGACGATTTGGAATTAAATCAGAAAACTGAAGATACATCAATGATCAGTTTCAAATTTGACAATTTGTGGTCGACATTGAAGTATCAAACAAAACTAACACAGGACAATCTGCATCAGTTGGTGGAGCTGGTCCAGAGAAATGATGAAAAGAGGGAAACCATCAGAAGGCTTCGACTAAAGGTGGAAACTTTGAAGCGCGAGAACAAGGCCCTCCAGATTTCTTTAAGCCACTCCAATGCTGGTTCAGAATGTGATCAACCACAGATATCAAAAACAGGAGGAATATCTACAAGCAAGCTGTATTCTACACAACCAACCGTCGCTTATGAATAATTCTTGCAGAATGTTGTTATGATATACTTTGTCCTCTAGTAAAGAAGTGAGCAACTTTACATGTCTTAAGACATTTAGCTAAAACAGTTACCATGTTATTTGCAGTTGTTCCAAGGTGATCTCATGGTTGTACTATAGCATTGTACATTCAAACTGGGAATTAGTCATTTAAAAGACAAGTGATTTTTTTCCCCATTATCATAATAATGGGATCTAACTTATCCACACTTACTCCAAAATCAAATTAAACAGTGTGTTCGAGGTAGATATGCACTTTCATAGACATATTTATGGACACGTGCATGTCTGGCCTTGTAAGATGAATGATGCAAATCAGATTTTGGCTACCTTTATTTCAGTTGCTGTCACCAATAGTCCCCACATGAACACAACCCATCCTTAAAATGATGAAACCGCTTGGAATCTCTGACTACAATTTCTCGATTTACTACTTTTGAAATCAATTTAATTGCAATGTGGCAGTCACCACAAATTCTAAGATTTTTTATGATATGGATTACTGACCCAGGAACTGAATTAATGATTCCAAAGGCAACAGCTAGTTTCTCACTATGAACTCTTAGAACCATTTCTTTCTCTTCCTCATCAACATCATGAAGCACCGATGTCACATTTGGCATATACCCAAGTTCTTGCAGCTTGGCATTTAATTTGTCCATATACTCATAAATCTTCTCATGTTGAGGATGTTCTTTGTCTCCAACTAAGAATACGTGTATCCTACCTTTGATTTCCACTATACTAAATCCAGGGGTTTTAAGCAATCCACGATTTTTCATCAATATCCTCATCCTTTCAACTTCGTCCCACCTTCCAGCATCAGCATAAATATTGGAGAGTAGAACATAGTACCCGCAATTACTTGGATCTAACTGAAATAGTTTCCTAGCAGAGATCTCCCCAAGTTCCACATTTTTATGAATCCTACAAGCCCCAAGAAGGGAACCCCAGATTATAAAATCAGGTTTCACATTCATTTCCTGGATCAAACTATAAGCCTCATTAAGATAGCCAGCACGTCCAAGGAGATCAACCATGCATGAATAATGCTCAATCCCAGGTTCAACATTAAATTCACCTTTCATTCTATTAAACCAATGCCAGCCTTCTTTTAACAAACCAGCATGGCTGCATGCAGCTAAAACTGACACAAAGGTAATGTAATTTGGCTTGTCTCCAGACCTTATCATCTTGTAGAAGACTTCCATAGCCTCTTTTGCACGGCCATGCATTCCATAACCAGCAACCATAGCAGTCCATGACTTAACATTCTTCACTTTCATACGATCAAATGCCTTCCTAGCCATCTCAACTCTCCCACATTTGCAGTACATATCCACTATAGATGTACCTACAAACACACTATCCTCCAAATCCATCTTTATAATCTATAGTACAAGAAACAAGCTAGTCAGACCAACAAACACCTACTCACTCGCTAATTATTCCATATAAGGACCAAAAAATAAGAACAAATTTAAACTAAATTTGGACCCTAACTTGGACAGTTTACACCACGTTTCCATTTTGGTCCTTATTAAATAAATAAAAAATGGTTTATACTAAAAAAGGCATAAATCAACTTTTAGTCATTATAGTTTCAAGGATGTACAATTTTAGTCCCTATAAAATTTAATTGCTCATTTGATCTTGCAATTTTTCAAAATTAAAAATTCGAGTACACTATTAATGTTATATAATTGTTAACAGAAAATACTAACGCATGGTGAATGGAAAAGTCAGTTACTTATCCACAGAAAATACTGACGGCAAGGCTTAACACCTGCTATCACTAAGAGACACATCAATATATTTTGTTAGAATGGGATGACATTAACTTCAGACTAAAATTGATTAATTTAAAAAATTAAAAGACCAAATGAACAATTAAATTTTTATAAGGACTAAAATTTCACATTCATAGAACTATGGAAACCAAGTGTGAATTTATGGGGAAAAAAAAAACAGACAAACAAAATAAAACACGTATAACAATTTTGCCCGTCATTTGGCACAGTTGCCACAGTTACAATGCTATTAGATTTTTGCAGAGTTTGAGAAACATTGCCAATTACCTATCTAACATCGAACATCATCATAGGAACCATACATAAGCAATTTCATCAGGTAGGTACCAAAATATAGCGTTTTTCAAGTAACCACCCAAAATGTAAATCGGTGTCTAAGGACCAAATGAACCGATGCATTACATAACATACCTGATCATGTATGCACTTCCCCATCTGCAAAGCTCCTGAATTCGCGCAGGCCAACAACACCGCAGATAATGTCACCCCGTTATATTTAACCTTGCCACTCTTCACCATGTCACCGAAAACACAGAAAGCCTCTGCTGACAACCCATTCTGCGCGTACTCAGCAATCATAGAGTTCCAAGAGTAGACATCACTCTCATGCATTCCATCAAACACTTTCCTCGCCACCCCCATCTCCCCACACTTGGCATAAGCATCCATCAAAGTATTCCCAACACCAACACACCCTTCAAACCCCCTTTTGAGCACCAACCCATGAACCCCTTCAGTCGCACTCCTCCACCCAAGCCGCGAACACGCCGAGAGAACACACCCCACAAGCACGGAATCCACGAAAACGCCATCCTCAGATTCCACACTCCCGCTCTCCTCGACCATCAGCTCCTTAAAGAGGCAAACGGCGTCCCGGGCACGGTCGTTTTGGACGTAACCTGCAATCATGGACGTCCATGAGACGGCGTATCGGCTGGGAATTTCGTCGAATACGTCGCGCGCGTGGTCGGGGTGCCCGCACTTGGAGTACATGTCTACGAGAGCGGTGGAGACGAAGAGATCCCGGCCGAAGCCGAAGCCGAAGGCCTGCTGGTGGGTCTGCGTGCCGGCGCGGAGGTCGGAGAGCGCGGCGCAGGCCTTGAGGGCGCAGGGGAAAGTGGAGCGGTTGGGATGCAGAGAGAGCTTGCGCATGGAGGAAAATGCGCTGAGAGCTTCCACGGAATCGCCGCTTCGAGCGAGGTCTGCGATGACGGTGTTCCAGCTAGAGACGCTGTTTTTGTCCACGTATTTGCCGAACATGCTCGTAAGGTTCGCGGTTTTGGTCCGCAATGTGGAGTAAGCGCGTTTGCGACGTGCAGTTGATGCTGCTGTTCTCAACACTAACCGAGTCATCGTCAGTGTGTTTCCGTGCAATGTGATTCGAACTTGCTTCACGTCCCAAGGATTGAGGTTCGACGGCGATTTCTTTTCAGTGCAGATTTCGGATGGAACACGGGTCTTGCAGATTACTGTGTGAGGGTGCAAAAGCTACATATTTTTGTAATTAACTTTATGAGATGCCAGCAATCGGTTTTAACAGTTTCGGTGGAGGAAGAGCTTACGAGTGGGGATGGTACATATATTATTAGCATGTCAAACATGATTGTATTCTACTTTAATTCACTCATTTGCACAATCAATTCGTGTAGGTTTCTGGCTTGAAGTTTTATGAAAATCAAAAGTAATTTACATCAAAAATATGAAATGAGTCCCAAGGTATAACGTGCATCTACAAGATAAAAGATAAATTTTGTATATGTAAAATAATAACATTCTAATTCCGAAAAAATATGACAATTTAAGAATGTTATTTTGTATGAGTTTGTTGTTAACGGAATTAGATTTAATTATTATTGGATGTTATTATTGTAATTACGTCCCTTAAAATTAGAGTATAAAGATATTAGTATCTACAAAGAGGTCTAAAGATAATAATGAATTTAGATAGATTAATTTTAAATAATATTGGAGATATGAACTTCTTATTAGAAAAAAATTATTAGAAAAAAAAATTATGTGAAGAAGATATATAAGATATGTTCAGATTTTTCTTTAATAATATAACAATCAATATTATATGTTTAAATTGCTTAGAAAAGTACACATTAACCATCATGTATATGTTTTTATTATCATAAAACTAGATTATACTTGTTCAATAGAGACACGAGATCTTGTGATAAATAAGTGATCAACTATACAACTCATAAATGATAGAGTTAAGTGTTTAATAATCAACCTCTAACAAAAATTAAGGACTTTTATGAAGCCCAGTCCATATTACTCAAATATTGGATTTAATTGTCTATTCTTTCTTGAAAAGTGGACATCTTGTTAAGTATATGGAATATAAGGATTATTGAACATGATCCATTTACTTACTCACGTACAAGTCTTTGTTCTTGAATGAATTTAATTCTTTATTGTCAAGATTAATGATAATGGATATTAAATTTGATGATGAAGTAGAAGTCATGTTATTGTTATCTTTGTTGCCTGACAATTGGTCACAGCAGTAGCCAATACATCTGGGACTATGAAATTAACCTTTGAAGGAATTAGGGATTTAATCCTTAATGAGGATGTTCGTAGAAGGAACACTAAAGAATCAACAAATTCCTTATTAAGCACTGGAGGTAGAGGTAGAAAGCCTGAAAAAAAACAAAGCTCTAGACGTGATAAATCAAAGTCCAAGGAACAAAAACAGTTCAAATCTCGCAAGGATATTACTTGTTGAAATTGTCAGCAGAATGGGCACTTTAAGAACCAGTGTACTGCTCCTAAAGAAAATAGACATGACAATACAATAAATGCAGCAGAAAAATACAGTGATGATGCATTGATTTGTTGTGTTAAGAGCAAGTTTGAATCTTGGATCATGGATTATGGTGCATCTTTCTATGTTTCTCCTTACAATGACTTGGTGAAAATTTTCAAAAGTGAAAATTTTGGCAAAGTGCGTCTAGCAGATAATAAAGTTTTAGACATCACAAGCATGGAAAATATAAATTTTAAAACATCTATGGGTATAGTATGAAATTTGAAGGATGTAAGATATATTCCAGGACTCAAGAGAATGTTAATCTCTGCGGATATGTTGGATGTTCAAGGATATTGAGTCATATTCGGAGAAAACCAATGGAAGATGGTGAATGGTAATCTAATTGTTGTTCGTGGTTAGAAGAAAGGAACCTTATACATGGCAGAATTACCTACACACGAAGTAAATTCAATCAATGAAGATGTTGGTCATTCTTCGACTTTGTGGCACCAAAGACTTGGTCGCATGAGCGAGAAGGGTATGAAGATACTAGTCTCAAAGGGGAAGATTCCAGAACTGGAAAAGGTAGAAGTTGGTTTCTGTGAACCATGTGAGTTTAGGAAGTAGAAAAGAGTTTCTTTTGCAAAGTTAGGAAGGATGCCCAAGGTAGAGAAGTTGTAACTTGTTTATACAGATGTGTATGGGTCAACATCAGTCTCATCATTGGGAGGATCACGATATTATGTCACTTTGACTGAATCACGTAAATTCCTTGTATTCTTGTTATTTACTTTCGTATTGTATTGCATTTGTATTCCCAACATATTTACCATGATAATTCTTTAAGTATCCAAATATTCTAGTGAGACAACCTTGAATTGAACTTGAATGGAGTTTGATATAAACTAGCTCAATTGTTAGGTAGCATAGACAATGTTTGGATGTGTATTGGTAAGATATATCAAACAACCCACTAAACATTTTTAAGGAAAGTGGTTCTGGAAGTTCTTCTTTATAATTTTGGTTGAGATGAAGTGAGCTATCCACATGTGTATATGCCACGATTTTAAACTAAAGAAACAAAAATCATGCAATGATTTAAGGTAATATTTTATTTGACATAATGGAATACATTTAGATGAGTGAGATACTTCTAGCCTAAGGAAGTACTTCAATACCCTAAGATGTTTTACTTAAAAGTGGGAGTAGGGGATTTTCTTGATGTCTGATATTTCCTCGATGTTGTTTCTAACAAGTATAATATTGTTGATATACATCATTAAAGCAATAAAAAAATTTCCCTTGCCTTTGATAAAAAGACTATCATCCTAATGGGTGTGACAATATCCATTGGATAGGAGAAATATTAAAAATTTCTCATACCGTTACCAACTTGTTTACTTCAACCCATATACGGATTAAAAGAGTTTGCAACACTAAGAAAGTTGAATGTTGTCAATTCTTAAAGGAGTATTCATGTAAATTCAATTGGTAAAAATGTCATTACTTAACAAAAGGCATATTAAAAACAATTCAAATGGTAACAATCTTAACCACCTATGAAGAGGTTTCAAGATAGTTAATTCCATCTTATTGAGCAAATTACCATTGAAACTAATCAAGTTTTGTAAACTCCACACTCTCATAAGGATGCCATTTAATTTTGTAGACCCACTTAGTGTTTAAGGGTGTCGTCTCCATAATATTCAAGGTTTTTGTTGAATTAGAGCACCTCCATCTCATATTGTATTGTCTCACACTAACATTCATGTTGAAGAGCCTCTTGATATCTCATTGGTTCAAACTCAATGACAAAGTCATTAGATAATGATGATGTGAGGAAGAAAAATGAGAATATGATGCAACAAAATGTATAGGTTACAAACATCTTGTTCATGATTGAATAAATAATTATAACGATAATCAAGGAGGTGGATAGGTTGCTTACGGGTTTAAGTTGAGTGGCATAATAGCAATTAAGGTTGTGGAAAATAATAAGGTGAGTTTAGTGAGGGCAAGTTAAAGATTAGTTCATTGTTGTGTTTTTTAGATGAGTGTTATGAAATAAGCTTACTAGGAAGAGAATGAGGTGGAATAAATACAAATTTGTTGGGCTTGTTAATGAGAAACCTAATATGGAAACCTTTTATCTAAATTTTAAAAAATGGTTTTCTACCTTATGTGCTTTATAATGAAAAGGTAAATTAGAAATTCACAAAAATCACAGTCTAGATTGTGGATTTGATGCATAAAACAAATGCAAACCTTAAAATTTTTTAAAATGTAGGACTTGATTGTGTAAAAGTTCAAATGGAGTTTTGTTCCAATTGATGATGGGACTTGATTATTTAAATAAATATCATGTTTAATGATATAGGACAAAAAATGGCTAGGGATATGAGATTAAAACATGACATGAGTGACTTTTGTCATATTGAGTATATGTTGATTTTTTTTTTCAACTTTCTCATTTTGTTAGGGGTCTTACATAACTTATTTAGTGTAAGATGCCATTGGACGTGAAAAATTCCCTTAAAATTTTTGTCGTTGTCAAAATAAATATTCTTAAGCTTTATTTTAATTTATCTTCTACAAGATGTATAAATCAACATGTAACTTCTCCCTTTGATTTAACAAAATAATCTAAGTGTACCAACTATAATCAATAATTATTTTCTAAATATTTGTGATCATGTATGGAAGCTTTTATCAAAGGGTCCTCAAATATCCACAGGAATAGGCTCAAAATTTTTGGATGTTCTATTGATAATTTATTAACAAGATAACCTTTTTCATTTAACTAAATAGAAAACATCACAAGTTTCATTGACAAACATATAAATAAAAGAAAATTATTAGTGTAAAATATCTAATCTATTTCTAGATAAATTACTTAATTTGTAGCACTAAATGGTTGAGGCAGTGACAGTGATAAATGTGTAGTTCACAAGAGAAGACTTATGTTGTAGAGATGAGGTGTATTTGCTAATACTAAGATGATAGAGACATCCTTGCAAATTGCCCAAACCAATCATCTTCAATAAATTCATATATTTAATTTTGCAAAAATCATTAGAGCAAATGAGAGTGTATGATAAGTTGAAAATGAATGATATTCTAAAAAAAAGATGTAAAAAGTTCTCGTTAGAAAATTTGATACGAATGAACTTTATTTTAAATGAGTTTGAAAATGGCTTAAAGACAAAGTTATATGGTTTGTGGCCTTGAATAAATAATCCATGTGATGAAATCAAGAAAAATTGTGGACAAAGTGAAAGAACTAGTGCCTATATGTAATAAATTAACATTATCAAAATTTGGACTTAAAGGAATACATAGGCTAACTTGTGAAATACAAGAGACATTAATATGACTTATGTAAAACCTACTATATTGTTTAATAATGTAAAAAAGGCTAGACGATAGTGTATTGTTTCACAGCTTATTTTTGTAAGATGATCCATAGACTATTTGAAGCTTATAATTTCACAATATTTTCATAATAGTTTAAAATAATCTATAAAAACAAGAATACAAAACAAGAAATATGCAAACGAGCAAGCAAGGTAGTAGATAAAAACACATTGTTTTT